AAGTCCTACGCTATTCTTCTCAAATAGCAGATCTCCTTCGCTGCCCGCACAGGGTTCCAGTACCGTCGTCCAATGTTCGATAGTCCACAACATGGGATTACCGCGGAGTTCCTCGCCTTCGTCCGTGCTATTGTCCATTACCTCCTTGCAGATACTCGCTGAGACGCAATTCCAATTCCACAGAAGGAATTCAAGTCGGAGTTCCCTCAACTCGCGTCTGAAGGGTCTCAATTCCTCGTAAGGCACCTTCAAGGTAACCAATTTCCTCACCTTCTCACTCTTCTTGGGCGCCATGTCTTCAATTTGCGTGTCGTTAATCGCGGGTTGGCTCGATTGCAATTCCTCTCTCTCTCTCGCTCGTTCTTGCTTGATATCGCAATGTCGGCGCGAAATCTCCTCGTACTGCCTTTACCTTCGAAGCCCTAACATTGCCTTCTCCCGCGCCTCGTAGAACTCCCGACGCGTGCGAACATCGTCTGGCCCGTTGCATGATTTGAAATTGATTTCGATGTCTTCGCCGAAGACGTAGCTCTTTGTACATTCATAAAAGTCTGCGCCAACGACACGAAGATCCGAAGATCTTCGGACGTAGACGAATTCTCACTAATTCTATCATTTCTCCTTAGGAGCTGCTTATTCTAACTCTAACAACTACTTTCTAAACAAATATCTTTAAGTTTTGTTGATTTTTAAAGAAAAACAAAAAAACTAGGCACCACACCTCTGGCGCTCAATCCTGATACCACTCCTTCAAAATCTCCGCGCAAACTCAATTCTAATCCAAGAGCAAGAAATCGAGTTTGATGACTGTCAGCTCATCGCAGAATGCCCTTAATCCAAATTCTTGCACTCGCAATTCTTGCACTCCAGATTTTCTAATTGGCTTCGTGTATGTTATTAGCCGTTCGTGTGTAAAAAGCACATTCATCCTGATGACATATCAGGTCATTTTGTAGAATTGTTCATACCCTCAAGAGTTTTCAGCTTGAATCTGATGACATCTCTTGGATAGCGTTTTTAATGCTACAATATACTTCAACAGAAATGCTTTTTCCACAACTATTGCCCTTAAATAGAGTATTGAAGGTTAGGCCCCATGTTATCATGCTGATAAGAATTCTTTACAATACAGAAACTATGAAATCAAGCGGTTTACGATCATAACAACATCTCATATATTACAAAATATTGCATTCTAGTTTAAAACACTAAATCATTTTTTTTAAAACAAGTGAAATAAATTCATAGTCCATAAAACTCGATTATACGATTCGATTTGCCACTGTGAGATTTATATATTACAACAAGCATCATATTTAAGTTAGGAAGACAAAATAATCTAAAAATATTTCAATTCTGTCACTACTTTTTATCGTTTAAAACGGTGGAAAGATACCACATTCATAGAAATTAGTTAATTATAAGTTACAAACCTAGAAAACATTGATTAATAGAATTAAAATGATAATTTAACACAGAGATAAACAAAATGACTCTGGATCATTGACATAGTGATACACAACTTGATCTTGAAATCGCACATTAATATATTGATCGTAGATAAAGTATTAGATCCTATGAATTCACCACGTCAGAGATACATAGAACAAAATTGTTCATTCATACTCGCAATTCTTCTGGCCTTCTTTCTACATGAAAAGAACATTTCGGCGAGTGAGGGCAATGTAATTCAGAAAGAAATAAATTACAGAACCTCGACGTTTCTAGTCTACAAAATATTTTGTGTGTGGAGCTGGAAAAAAAGTTTCAGAACCATTTGCAAATCGTAGAAATCCAAGCTTGATTCTTGCGCATCCTTCGAACATTGACTTCCCTATCACATTGACAATCACCAATAATGTACTTCAATACTTCCCAACCGTGAGGGGTTTTTTTTAATATTGAACCTTCGGATTTAAATCGCTGTGTTATGTCAAACGACCACATATCCATAGCTGCGGATTCAGCACTATAGATTTTACACCTACGATTGATTTTACTTTACATCTTCCGTCAAATAGTGTGAAAAAATGTGGAGAAAATTACTTGTTGGAATCCTCCTTAACACAAAAGACTTCATGACACTCAACACTTCTCATTTTACCATATGTGGGGGAGTTTACTCAAACAAGACGTGGGATAGCACTTGAAGCAAGAAATTTGAAAGTAATAACACTCAAACTGAAAAAATTGAAAATAACATTAAATTCTCAAAAATTAGATACAAATGATGTTGACAAGAGTGAGTGAAAATGTCTCAATCAGAATGATTTATCCATATTTTTCATATAAACGATTCATGTGTTTCATAGATAAAAAGTAAGTGTGTTAGTTGACAGTATTTTGTTAACAATCTGTGTTTTTGATATGTAGAAAATAATTGTGTTAGTTGAGAAAAATTATTTATTATCCGTGTGCTTGTTATATAAAAAATGAGTGTGTTAGTTGAGAACAACACATCAGTAATACATATGCTCATTATGTATATATTCCATATCATCAATCCACTAGGAGCGAAGGAAATAATTTTCATTTAGGTGTTTGAAAGATCCCAACTATTCTAGATATCTTTCATCTTCAAGTTTTTGTTTTATCTTTGAGTGAATTACTCTCTTGACCCCTAATGTTACGCGTAACATGAAATTGAAAGCCTTGTTAGATTCCAAAGCATTTGTTTGTTTTATTGATAAAAAAAACTTATAAAACTTCATAATTTTTCTATAATCTTCAAGAAATACTCTATGACACCAGAGATTATTCACAGTAGTACTTTGATTTAAACATATGTCACTCTAAAACTAAGCATTTGAAATTTATTTTAAAAAAGTTGTAAAGTACTATTGTATTCAGTATCATTAGTTTTTTTTATAATCGTTTTGTGTTAGGACTCTCTTGATTAAAGATGATAAATTTTGGATACAAATTGAAGAATGTGAAAGCTAACATATTGTATCATGGGTTTTCATATTTTATCTAGACTGTTTAAAAATATTCCAAATCCAGATTTTTACCAATATCAAGTATCTGAAGTCAAATTTTGTTGATGTCATAGACTTTTAGGGGGCTGCCAAGAATGAAAATATGCTTGCAATTTATGCAATTCCAACATCTCAATGTGTTCGAGAAACAATCAAATTTTCAACAAAATATGTCATGTATCGATATGTGCTTGAAAAAAAGATATCTGCCAGACTTACTCATCAAATTAATGATGAGTAAGTCTGGCACAAACTTTTTTTGATGAAAATCCCACAATGATTTTCATTCAACATTCCATTTCATCTGCTAGAGCTTCTATTTGTCAAAGAGAAAGTAAAAGACAACTACCTTTGAATGTGCTCCTATTTGTCAAGAAGAAAGACGGCTACCTTGGAATGTATGTGAATGATCGTGGATTAAACAATGTCACAATCAAGAACTTGTATCATTGTCGTTCATTTCAAGATTTTTTTGAAAAACTCGTTCAATCAAAGATCCACCTCAAGATTGTTCTTTGTGGAGCATACAACCTCATATGTATCAAAGAAGATGACAAATTGAAGACTACAATCCAAACTATATATAGACATTTTCAATACAATGTCATGCATTTTAGTCTTATCAAAGCATGTGACATCTTACAACCTTGATGAACTACATGCTCTAAAGATTTTTAGACAATTTGTTTTTCTATTATGTCAACGACATATTGGTTTTCATCAAGAATTAAGAATATCACATCAACCATGTGCAAATAGTGATGAAAAAGCTTCTCATTGTTGTACTATACCTCAAGTTGGAGAATTGAGTTTTCCACAACTCCAAGTCATACATATTCTTGGAATACATTATTTCGAGAGAGTATAGATCCATGGATCCAAAAATTTTCAAATGTTCATCCATAGGAAGAAATCTATTGTTGTTCAAAACGTAAAAAATTTCCTCAATTTTGCAAACTTCAATCAAATCTTCATCCAAAACTATTCGAAGCTGGTTACTCCGTTGAAACAATTCACTTGAAAAAATAATCAAATAGAATGTGAAAATATATCAAACATTTGGGACTCTAAAGAATACAATTACAACTATAGATATTCTAAAGTATATTTATTTCTAGAAACCATTCTTTCTAGAAACGTATACTCCTGATTTTGCCCTTGGAACCATACTTTCAATATAATTCCAAGTACAATACAATTCCAAGTACAATACGACCACAATTCTATACCCAAGATCAATTATGAGATCACGACAATGAACTTTGAGCCATTGTCAACTCCTTCCAAGAGTGGAGTCATCTTCTTGAATTACATCAACGTCCAATCACGGTATACATTAAATACGTGATTCTCGTGATCGATGTATACTATACACCGGTCACAAGAAACTTGAGTACACAAGTTTCTTGTGTACTTTGTGTGTGCCAATCCACAACAAAACCGTTTGTGTATGTCACTTAAGCAGTTCAACATGTCATGGATTCCGCCACTGTTTTAAAGAAATCCGGTTTGTGTACATCGCTTACATACTTCAACTTGTCATCGATACCGCCACTGTTGTAAAGAAATCCGAATTTACCTTGTATCCTCGATAAGAGGAAGTAGGTGCATGACAAACAAACAACCTCAGCTGAAAACCAGAAGCACCAGAACGTCTTGTATTGGTATCCTTTCTACTAGACTTTAGTGCGCTTGAATCTTCTTTAGAGTGCTTGAATTATCTATCACTTACACAAGCTCTTGGTATTTATCTTTGTTGCAACATAGTTTATGAGGTGATGCCAACACTTGCTGACCAATCCCTTCAACAGATCAGATGGCATCCTCGCCACATGGGCTACTTGCCGCTCAGCTACTTCGTCCTTCCCTTCAAATTATTGCGAAAACTGCATAGGAGAGAGGGTCAACAATCTTCTGAATGCTAGCTTTGGAGCTGTTCAAGATAGGCCAGTCAAGATTGCATTCTTAATCTCATGACTTCATTCGCATATGTTTGGATAGGTTTCCATTCACCACACCAAGGTTTGAACCCCATTCCAAAGTTAGGCGAGAATCTATTCAATCAGTAATCACACCTGGCTGCTAAGTTCCATTTTGGAAGAAAGAGTCGAAAAAATCTCCTCCACTCTGCGCTACGAAATGTAAACTACAGATTGAGTTCCGTCACCAGAAAGCATTTTTCAGGATTTCCATGAGACTCACTAGTTATGCACTTGTTGTGTGTTGTTCCACATTGAACACAAATCGCGATAATTTGGACTGATACTATGTAGACTTCGTTGGAAAAAAACTCGATCTTGACTCGCTCCTACCGAGTTTCGTTTTTCTGAAGAGTCCAAATGGCTGACATCCCTGTTCTTTCTAAACAACTACCTTGAATATTTCTTCCTGAACCACTTTGGAGGTGGTCACTGGGTTTCAGCAGAAAATTATGTGCAGTAAACCCATGCACTGGACATAAACTTTCTGTTTACCGCATACCTACATACGGAAAATTCTACATACAAGATGCATTTGTTGCCAAAGTGAATTAATTCTTTATCTGCACATAAAAGTCAAATGACGATGAGTTGACGGTAATATCGCCCTCTTACAAACCGATGCCATTTGTACATCACATCTTCTGCCATTGTCAGCTGGAGTCTTTCCTTGACGTACCTGTGAAACATTATGAAAATGAGAAATATCATGTCATATTCTTCCTTACGTGCCGTATAAATCATAAAGACGATCTACAGACGATAAAGCACGGACGATAGTTTGGATATGCGGGGAGGACAAGCTGCAAGAACAGAGCAGACGTTGAAAACGTGTTTTCATGGCAGTACCCATGTAAAGACATCTCCATATGTATACACAAAATACGTGGAACATTCAGTTGAACACAACTTCTGTCATCATAAATCTGTCATTCCAAATGCTCCAGAAAAGTGAACTAGTAACCGTAAGAGCTCTTCGCAACTAGTGAACATCGTGAAGTGATTGTTCTCTTACCATCGGACAAGACACCTTGCAACTCCACGAGTGATCGGTCGAAGGTAGGGGGGTTCTCTCTGCTTGTAAAGAAGACCCACCTGTCAAACGAGTGCAGTCAGCTTTCCGACTCTGAAAATCCTAGACTCCCAATCAGCATGAAGAAGACGAAATATGAGTCAGAACTGTACAAGAATCAGTCCAACCTAGACTCACATCAAGACGAATGTGCTTACCTGCAAGAGAGCATCAGTTGAAGGGTCGTCTAAAAATTCTTGGGCTTTCTCTTCCTGGTGATTCACCTGGTGTAACAAGAGTTTCCGTAAAAATGGTATGAGAACTGCGAGGACTCAAATTTGGTTTCGGTCTCAAAACAAGACCTAGATGGTTCAGAAGTGACTACAATCGTCACTCTGAATACTCTCGAGCTGTGTTAAGGAGGCATGGTGCTACACAAGACTAATTCTTGAACATGCAACAAGTACTAACCGCAAAATCCGTGTCTGCCAGGGCTTGTATATAGTCTAATAGCTGCAGACGTGCCCACCGCCGTTGGTATTGAGGTGTTCTCGGGGGATGCCTCCATGGAACTCCATGTTTCAGGCGACTCCTGCTAATCTTTCCGGCAGCGACATCTTGAGCAAAAGTTTCTAAAAGCTTAGAGGCTGCCTCCATAGATGGGTCAATAGCTGTCACCTGGTAAAAAAAACGCATCAAATTTAGCCGTGGCACTTGAGGTTCGAATTCAAGACCTTCTTAACGCCAGAAACCAAAGCAGCATGCATACTACTTCCCCCCTTTCGATTGGGTCTTCAAGATGATGTTTTTCCTTACACAGGGAGAAATGACGTGCTCAGATTCCCAAAAAGTGTTTCTTTTCTCTAAGAATCAGAATACTAACATGATACTGGTAGCTCGTGAGAAAAACTGGTTTGATAGTTCAAAACTTTACCTGTAGGTAGCCCAGGTAAAGATCAATGCAATCTTCTATAGCATTCCCGCTGTTTTCTTCCAGCAACCTGAGGAAGCAGAGGAATGAAAATTTAGTAAACGGTCAGGTGGAGGAGATACAACCTTACTATAAAAGATCCAGAAAGCTAGTAAGCGTGATTAATTCTAGACTTAAGTATTCCAAAGCTTTGACGGGCTTTATTTTTTATATCTGAAACGTGATGATCTTCTCTTGCCAGATAATAATGTATGTGAATGTAAGTGCACCTACTCCCAAAAAGAAGGATGATGCCAAATCGAGTGCAACTCCTTTAGATGACGGACATTGGATCCCAGGACAGTGTTTATAACCTTCCACTGCACACAAACAAAGAAATGAAAGAAGAAAAAAAAAAATTAAACGAGAATTGTATATTGTAATAACAAAGCGCAAACCTGACCAAAATAGGAATGGCTGGCTTCAAATGCAATGATAAAGAGAGATGTCATGAAGCCAAAAAATTGCTCATCTGCGAAACGAAGAAAAAGGGAGATTGAGTTTTCATTTGGGGTTATGATTCCAACCCTCTGACAAAACCACAATCAGCTGCATAGATCTGGCAAAAAGCCTTAAAGAGGGTCACCTCGGGCTCTTCAAAAATGGTTGGAACCAGGTGAATGGCAGCCTCCTTGGGTGTCCATCCCAGAGTCTGATTAAAACATTCTAAAACGCAGTTAGTGACAAACTTCTTCCATCGTCCCAAACTATATTTGGACAATTTGGTGGCTGACGAAGATATCATTACTCCATGGGGTCAACTTCTTCTAGATTTCTTTTGATTCTGACCTTAGCTAAACAAAAACAAGCAGTCTTCATCAACGAATCCGAAAACGGAACGGGAGTCACACAGATTAAAATCCTCTCTGCACATTGTACTAGAGCACAGGAACGTAAATCTAATTTTCAAGAGCTCGCTTAAAAAGCGAAAGAATGTCCGCTACCTCTTGGGATATGAAGGCATGATCGTTGCCATGATCCTCAAATAGTTTCCGTGAATAGTAACTGCAATAGTTGACAACAATTGGGTTTGTAATACACCTAACCACCTTCTTCAAATGCATAGTATCTTATAACGCTGAAAGAAGCATGTCAGAAAAACTATAATGACTGATATCGAATAGTCAGAACAAGAATGTGACAAAGGTACCTGTCTGATGATACTGAGATAATGGGAATGCAACCTTCACTGAAACCCAGCTTCGTTATTTGCATGAGCAGACTGTCATGATACAGAGCACCATGCAGGCCATCTTCAGGATTTTCTGGAGCCGCTTTGCGCATCAAGCCTAGATTGTTGATTATCAATTTTGGCTGCTCACCTTATAGCAAAACTCTCAGTCCTGGAAATAAGTATGATACTTATAATGTTTGTGAGGCTTCAAAACTTGAGTTAAAATCTCCGAGAACTGCTCATTAACAACTAAGTTTCAAGAAGTACACTTCGCGACTGCTTGGTGACAAAAGTACCTGAAAAGTTCCTTCCCGAACACTGCCAGAGATCAGTCTCAGGAGCAGTATCGAATAGCTTGTAGCAGCATCTGCAGGTGCTTTTGAAACAATACCTTCACTCTTGAGCTGCTGCTTAGAAGGAATTTTCCAATTCTCGTGAATCTTCAGTAGCTGCTGTGCAAGAGCCAAAGACAGGATGGCTTCCTCCCTGACGAGCACTTGCGACCTCGGCTTTTTTGACATGAGAAGACCCGATTCATCTGATTGTTGAATTTGGGTTTCAGTACTACCAGGATGATTGGAGACCGGACCAGTAACAAACTCGGAAAAAAACTGCTTCCTCATTTGCTCTATTCCTTCCTTCCACATATCTCTGGTGTTCCCTGATTTAGTAATGGTTTCCACAGAAGCTGGTTTCTTTCCATGTGTCCGTAAAAATTGACTCAAGGCTCCATCCACAGCGTAATGTTTCATAAGGACGGCTAAAACATCATCACCTGTCAGATAGCCTTTTTCGACGGCTTTGCTGGCAAGATATTCAAGCCCCTCTTCAACCATGTACCGAATGGTTCCTATGTTCAGAGAGCCCTCTGGTTTAGGTTTTTGGTCACCTTCTCTGATTTTCGAAGTATTCTGATTGTCTTCAAGTATGTCACTCTCAAACCACGGGCATATTTCTCTACCGGAAAGATTTACAAAAGCAACAACGTGGGGAGGCTTCCTCCATTCTTTCATCAACTCTGCATGGTAACATAGAATAAATGAGAAGTTTCACCACTGATCACATCCCAAAGCCCACGGCAAAACCGAGACAGTGCAAACACGAATGAATGCTGAATGGTCGCAGTCATCAGAAGAAGACTGTCTCACCTTCTACGACAGTGCGCTTGCCCACACCACGCGGTCCGTGCAAGATGAGAGGCTGGACAACGATAGGATAACGTGCATAGTTCTTCAGAAGAGTCTCTAAAACAGAGCGCCTCACTATTGGCCAGGGGGCAGTTGCTGCCTGATCAGCTTCGGTGTACTCTGACCTCGCAGCGGCCAATTTCCGAGGAAGACCTTTATTCCTCGTACTCTACGAATACATCATGCCAACATGATTTCAAAGTTCTTTCTTCCAGGAGCAATATAGAGAGCTCATGACGTCTGTAAACTACGATAACTGTACTTTGCTAGACACGCATGATACGGAGCAAATGCATTGAATTATCTGGCTCAAAATCGAGCACGTCCATTGAAAGAGCCACTTCGAAATGCGAATAATCAAAACATTTCCAAATCTTGAAATAAAAGGATCGAGCAAATCAAGGGCTGAGCAGGATAATTACCTCCCCTCCATGAAAACAGCGAGAATTTTTACTGTGGAGTTCACGAACTGACAATCTGCTGTCCGAAGAACGAAGTATCGCTGCAAAGGAAAAGCGGACCTAGATGATCAAGAACACTACCATAACCTGCCAACTGTAGATGAATTTACTCACATTCAACCTTCAATCAAAAGATCGACATATCACATCCTTCAAATTAAGCCCATCATCACCGAAAATAACAAAAGTAATCTTAAATCTGTCGCGCCATTCGGCAGTCAAAAGCAAAGCAGTCATACCTTCTCCACTCTGCGCCTTGGCTACGGGTGCTGCGGCTGCTGTTGTGATCGGCCGCAGAGCGGCCTGCAGTGCTCGCGCTCGCGCGGCCGACATGTTCCAACTTGCTTCAGCTCCACGCGCAGGATCTACCGGGCAGCCCCGAACATTTTTCGGCAAATTGCGGGATCGTCACTCTCTGCTTCTGCATTCAATCTCGCGGGCAGGCAGGTAGACACTCGTTCCGATGATGTGTTCTGAATCAGCAGCACAGCACCGCCTCGGCCCTCTCCTCTTCTCGCACCTTCATCGACCGTGACGGCGGTGACGCTTTCCCTTCGTGCATCTCTCACGATCATCATGAAGGACAACGTTGTCCGTGTTTCGTGTTCCCATGAAAACTAACCAGATCCAAGCCAGAGGATGAATCAAATGTACGCAACTGCTTTCATTTCGAGAAAGATCGTGATGTTTGCCATTATTTCTGAGGAAAGAAATTCACGTTTTAGGTTCATTACATAACTGCGATGTTCACGAAAATCAGTGGACAAGAGTATATTCCCAATTTACATTTGATTTTGCAGGCCATCAGCAAAATGTACTGTTTAACTTATTTGTTCTCATTATCTAATAAGGATTCATGATATGCAAAATACTTTTACTTCGAAGCTGCTCAAATGGATTTTAAAAAAATTGGAAACCTCCTTCAAGACGTGAAGATACAAGTCTCCATACAATGTGATGGTCTTGTAACGAGAAATCTGACCTAAGGCGACTACAATATTTGAACTATGACAAATCAGCCATTATGATATCAGAAGATGTTGTATCATGTACAGTGTTTGCTTACTTGGATATACTACTAGTTCTTGATTTATACAAGGCGATGAAAGCATTGTATCTTCTTTAGGTTCCACAACTTAGAAAATAGAAAATGATAGTCTAGTCACATGATTACAAGAAGAATATGATGACATGAGCCATTTTCTCATCTATAGATATGGCAACAAAACTTAGGTGCAAAGATGTCTGTGAGTATATTGAGCAGTGTTGAAAAATCTTTGGTTGAATCAGCCTCGAGGTATTGATAAAACTCCAAATAATAATTCGTGGATGTTAAAGCATACAAAGTTCGCTCTCAATGCTTGCTTAAAGTGGATATGGATAGATGACAGCCTAAAGTTGACATACATCGCTATCAATTACCACTTGTGATGAAAGTTTGACATCTTTATCACGATAGTTTTTAATTTATGACTTACTTATCACCTAAGTGGTATTTTTTTGCAAGATATAATGACATTCCAGACTCAATCACACTTCATATTGCTCCTTAAGATGCAAGTTAAGATGAAACAATATAATATGCTGAAGCATATTATGTTGTTGCATTGAATTTCTCAATTATATTTACCTTTATCAGATCTGTATCATCTTCTTTAAAATGTTATTTTTATTAAAACATTAATCCAAATAACTCTTCATTAGAATTTACTTTATTTTTTTGAATGAACATTATATTATGGTTCATATTTATTGCTTACCTTTGATCACTACTCTCTTTGAAAAATAATTTCAAGTGTTATTAAATAATTGATATTTCCGATGAAAAAAATAGAAATTTGATGCAATAAGATATTCATGAAATTACTGTTTTATTTAATGATTTAATACCCTTCTGTAATGCAATAGGGTAAAATATATATTAAGAATAAAATATATGTTAAGTTATAGTATAGATTATGCATAAGTTACTTCAATTTTAGAAAAAATTATGAATGAAATTTATACTTGGATCATTATTTTTTAGTGCAAAATGATGTTTCAAAGATGTATACACACAAACTAAGTACTTCGAAATTTGATAATAATCTTATGCATGATTTAGTAATAAAACTTATGCAAAAAAATGACATCAATAAAAATATTGATAAAATTTTAACAGAAAAATATGATTAATTTCGAAAATCATCGAAAAAATTAAAATGTGATCAGTTTAATTTGCACAGCTCTACATAATACCAAGAAATAAGTCAAAATATTTAACAAAAATATCAAGATATACAGAATTAAAAATGATGAATTCGATAAATGCAAACCTTCAATAAAGAAAATTATGTTAAGTACAAAAGACTGTAATTAAGATATTAAATGTTGCAAATATTAAATTCTTGACTTTCATAAGTTTGAAACAATCAGAAAATGATGTTGATGGGCAAAATTTAGAATATATATAACGTACACAAGTGATATTAAGAAAATATCATTTTTTCAAAAAAATTTATATCAAACTCCTCTGAATATGATTTTTGAATAAATAGAGTTTTCAATAACTTCAAAGCTAAAAAAATCAAAATACATACTTCTTTTTTTATAATATGAATCTTGAGTGTTAGAAATGAGTTCATCATTAATTCAGGAATATTTAAGATTTGAATTTATGAAATAAAACTACATGATGATAACTAATAATCTCTTTTGCAATCATGACTTGGTTGTTTTGAACAAAATTTATTTTCAATAAGATAATTTATATAATTCATTACAAACAAAACAAAGATTAAATTGAATCGTCTACTTGTATTTCTTGTAGATTCAATAAAAAAATTCAATATTTATATAATGCAATTATAATTGTAATCTTCTTATATTCTTCTGAGTTAAATCTTGCAGAATTGCATCAAATATTTTTTGTTGACTTTTTCTAATGAAGCTCTCTGTTTCATCTAGCAACAAGTTCACAAAGTTCAGCATTTGTATTGCATACAAATGCTTCAAAACGAATAATATACTTGTTTCTACATGTTATTGCAAACATTATATTGCTTAATCTTATCTGATATGTTGTGTATGAGTGTAGAGTCACCGAATGATTATTGATACAAAACATTAATATGAAGATGCACATATCAAACATAATTAACCTGTAGTACTCTGGATTAAATAAGTAATGCGAATAAGAAACTTATAATACATCATACTAAAATATAAAATTTTTATCAAAATGTATATTTATCAAAATAATATGAAATATTATAAAGTTAAAAAATGATAAAAAATATTTGCAATCTTTTTTAAAAATTATTTTTTAAATAAGATTTTCTTTGATTCTTTTATTCTTAATAGATGAATTAGATTTACTTTACATAAATTTCATATTAATTTTTTGATAGAATTTTCATGTAAATGGTAAATAGATCAAGCCCTTGGGACCCAAAGGGTCAAAAGACTGAAAAACACAATACAAACGACAACCACAAACGAGTTAAAAGACCCCAAAGGCCAATCTGTATCTAGTGCCAACAGCACTAGAACGGTATTATTGTGTAGCTTCAATTATTCAAATCTTGGAGACAAATCATTCTAATTATAAAGAATCTATTATTATTTATTCAAGAATCAAATATAAATGTTTACCAATGTCTTCCTCATGTGGGTATAAAAAATGATGTAGTTCTAATAATTGTGTAATAAACACCTATTCATGATTTCATCTTTTTATACATAAAACAGATTAAAATATAATCAACATGTTATTTCATGCGCCATTTTAGACATGTGGTATATCCTGATTTCAACAAACATCACATCATGACATCAAGTAAAATCACATTAAACACAAAGCGAAAGATTAAAATATAGTTCATTTCAGTGTATTTATATTTCCATTTGCAACAATATTATATTTAAATAGTTATCATGGTAAGGAATGATGGTTATCAAAATTTTAAAGCCTAAAAATCTAAATATGTTTTCAAATATCACATATTTTCTTACAAACATTAATGGAAGAAGGATATAAATTGAAAATATCATAAATAAACATATGTTCAAACTGAAAACACTTGCAGTTTGCACGTATTTTTTTGATATAGTAACATCAATAGAATAATAAACAAGATGCACAAAAATATCACTTCAATATCTATTTTATTCAATGTAAATACCTTAAAAAATTAAAATTTAAAAATAAATTATATTTTAGTTTGAATTTTCGTAAATAAACATGAAAGAATTTTTTAAATATTCTATGAATTTTTTTTGAAAACCTCTAGTAGATTGATAAAAGCTCACACATAAGTCATAATCTGATTGTAAACCACTGTTTATATATAAGCAATTCATTCCATTTTGACAGTATGTAGATAGAAATTATATTTACATTAAAAAATATCAATGCCAATGTAAGACACAAAAGAAAGAACATATGTACACATAGAGTTAGTTGTTTATATACTCATCACATTGAATATTCATGTAGACTTGAAGACTTAAGATTAAAAATAATTTCGATTTTATCATAATAATTACTTATAATCTTATAAATTATTGAATGTAAATTTTATAATATCTTTATATTTTCTAGATTATATTGAATATATATATTATAGATATAAAAATATGATATTTTTAAATATATTAATATTTATAATTTTATTTATAATTTGAAAATAATTAAAATTTCTAGATGATGATTGCCCATATTTTATAATATAATAAAAAAATTATTGAAAAATATTTTTTTTCATTTTTTTTCATATCATGATTTTTTAAAATTTGATAAAGTACAAGATATGAATTTTAATAATTTAAAATTATTTCTAAAATTCAGATGAAATTTTAAATTATAAATTTGAGTCAATTGAATAAATAAAATTTAAGTTTTAAACCTTCAACAAAAATTGCTTGAAAAAGATCAAAATTAAGATTTTTTACAAGATGCATACAAGTTGTTTATAATCTCAAAGATCTCATAATTTGCTTTCATGTATACATTGGGTTCGATGATCAATAGATATGTCAATGGCATGAAATTCTGTACATGTTCATTCCATTGTTTTTTACTATAGTTAAAAATCTTTTACATTCAAGTGTTATGACTTTATTAGTTTCTTTGGAACAAATTTGGTTATATGTATATGTGTTTAATCATTCTTGAACATTTAAGCAATCTTATTGAACAATATTGGAATTTTTTTGTGTTTTTCCAATCAATATTGCAACATGCGTAAATCTATGATTATATAAAAAAACTTATGCTAACAAAAATTAGGCTTTTTTTTATGACAACAAAATGTTTGAAGCACAACGTTGAATCGAAAACTCAGTCATATGAGCTGTATGTTTTTATGCTTCATCTCAATACATATTTCGTATTCCAATGACAACAATCGTTTGAATAATAAACATGATGTTTTGGTAGTATTGGGTTTTTTGGGTTATAATATGTATGAGATCCCAACATGAGATGTCTTGAAGTTTTGTGTATTTGATGTTATTTAGAAAGTAATAAATCGTTGTACAATACTTAAATAAATTGTTAAGGGATTATTAAAACATTTAAATTAATTTATTAACATATATGTTAGTACAAGGAGGTTTGATATATGAATGTATGTGTTCATAGAAACTATGCAAGTTTTTTTTCTAAATCACGATCCAACATTAGAGTTTATTTGTTAATATACTCTTTCCAAAGCCAAGTATGTGATACATGAAAATTTTTCCTATGAAAATATCTTTTTTTATGATAAAATTTTATAATGACTCGATAATATTCAGGTATTTGATTCTTTAAAATCTTTTTGTGTGCTTTAATATAATGGTTCTCGTTGATCTTTTGACACAAACAAATAACTACAAGTTTCTCCATTAACGATTCCATGCCAATTCTTCTAAATCTCAAATTAAAGGTCCAGATTAATTTAACAAATAATTCTATCAAAGTTCACGTAAAGATTGCTCGCACATATCATCATAGGGCGAATCTCCCTTACGAACAATATGAGAAGCCGCATATTGGATACGAGGATTGCTCAAACAATTTCAAAATGTCAGATAACCCACTAATTTCCACAACATAAACTCAGATTTTCGGCACTAGAGTAGATACATGAGATATAGGCACGTTCAAAGCTTGGCTAGCTGTACATTCAAAATATTCACCTGATTTTTGGTGGCTTTATGTGAGCAAATGTCTCGAATGAATATCCAACAATTCTGCGTCCTCTCATGGTCTGAACTATATTCCACAAACAAACCGATTGGGTACTCGTCTAAGAAATGGAGAGAAGTACAATCTGTAGTTCCTAGCATAGCAGACCACTCATCAATATTGAACTTGCTGCTGCAGATTTCCTGATTCGTGGATATGGACTGAGACAATGGAACACATCACGGAATAATATACACGACAAGAAAGGACTTGTCCTGAAGTATGTGCCTACTGACAAGAGTAAGTCTTTTGCCCATGATACTGCTGAATATGAATGAGGGAAGTAGTGGATTCGAATATCTGAAGCGAGATCAATCTCGAACGAAAACATCTTGCTCCTCGCTGCACGTCCTGCAGTAAGCAAAAAAATCGTCTTAAGACGAGCAGTATTCAGTTTCAAGGTCCGAAATCTCCGAGGACGCACGACGTCGAAGCTTAGGGAGTGTCGTCCAGGATTCTAAGAGGAAAATTACACTGTTTCTCACATTCAAATCATCCAATTTTTTATTATCTTCGGCACGTTGGTTGACCTCGAAAAACTGTAGAAGATATGAAGAGCTGACTGTATGAGGTTCGTCAATGGCCAACTCCGCGGGACTTGCATCGTCACTCTGTAGCCATTTCACCTCAACTGTCTCCGAAGATCGGGATTGTTTGATTCTATAATGGCTACAGAGTGAACAAAATGCGTGAAGCATTGGAAGGAACAGTTCTATATATTTATATACTTATGTCCCTCTCAGTTTTGAACTTCCTGCTGTAAAATTCATGCTTCGTCCATATAAACGAACGCTTGCAGTCGAACCCATAAAAAATGAAATGAACTTCTTGTAAGCCTTCTTGCGCATGATACTGGAAATGAACATGGAAAGTAGTGGCTTGAAAAAATATTCAAAAAGTCAAGCTATGGCTTCAGAGTATCTATTATAATCTTCACGGTAAATAAAACGACGCCTTTATATATATATGTTTATTTATATATATATATATATATATATATATATCATTTTGACAATCGTGTTTATGATTATGTTTACATCCTCAACAGGACGTTCGGTTATTAACGTGAAGGTGGCTCGTATCCTGGTGAGTACTACCTCTGAGTCAAACGTTGCATTACACAGTATTGACTCACTGCATCCGAGAACATGTCGGAAAGCTGCGAGAGGCCAAAGTCGGAGCTAATCTGGGAAGTGCTAGATTCCTTCCGTACATGACGGTGAGCAAGACGCTCTCAGTTGCATGCGAAATCATGAATTATAGATCTCGGTTTTCAGAGATGTGCAAGTAATGGAGATTGGAAATCAAGCAATCTTGCTTGTCTGAGGATCATGGATTTCTATATTCAACTTTAATGTAAATCCTAACCTGCGCCGTAGCATCTTGACTCTTCCTCGTTTCCTGTTCCAAAGGCCAAATCCAGGTTGACAAATTCTCCACTTGCAGCGACTCTAGACGTGGGTGGGATCATCGGTAAGAAGCTCCTCCTCTATCAGCAGGTCATACCTGATGATCTTTTGCCGATCAGTTCTATAAATCTGGACTCTTGAGAGTCCGGTGAGTGACTTTTCGTCTAGCATCCTCTCTCACGCTGCAGCCCTTTTGATAGAAAAAGCAAGCTCCAGCATGATTGAGCGGAATCCGAGACTGGAATTAAACCTCGAAAGTGGCAATCCTCGTGCTTGTTTGTCCATATTGTAGAGGATTGCTCTCTGCCGCAGATAGTTCAACACTGGAGGTCATATCACAGGCAATCGGCTCGATAGTTGTGTTGTGTTGTGTTGAGTTGAGTTGAGTGTTTGTCGATCACAACAGAACGGTATGGATGTAAATTATTCCAAAGCTGAGGCTGAGCTCGTGAAAGCATCATGGGAGATGTTCAAGAAAGATTCCATAGGAAACGCTCTCATCTTTTTTAAGAAGTAAGTAAAATTCTGATCTGATCTCCATAAGAAGCCTCAGGAATGTCAGCTGTGAATTCGCAGCGATCGCGCCCTGTAGTCAGTCGACCGACGATGCAAGTTTTACATGTCTGTCTGTCTGTGTCTCTGTATGGCTGCCTGCTGAAGTGGATCCCCTTGATCCATATGGGTGTGTTTGGACTTTTTACTTGCTTACCTTCGACTCGTTCTGACTCGCTCCTCAAATTTCAATCCAGAATTTTCGAAGTGGCTCCCGATATGAGGGACTTGTTTCCATTTACACAGGATTATACACTACCGCTCGAGAAGAACTATAAATTGAAGGCCCATGCACTTCTCGTTTTCAAACTCGTACGTACATCCCTGCTCGCATTTCTTTCATCTCTCTCGACAGAAACCTTGCGACTCAATGAGTGCAAAGGGTCTCGATGGCCTAGTTTCAGCTCTGAGGATGCTGTGCCGGCCGGCCGCCGGTCATGGTTGCCCAGCATTCCTCACATGCGTCGACTGCTGACTGCCGTGAGGAATGGATACGCACATGCTGACTCTCGATGATCATTGTGAATTTGATGTAGACCGGAGATGCAGCTGTACAACTCGGGGAGCATGGATCCATTGAATCTCTCCATCCGAAGCTTATAGATCTGGGCAAGAAGCACCTTGGCTATGGAGTTCTCCTTGAGCATTTCGTGGTAAGTTTTAGGACTTCCCGCCACAACCATCTAACCATCTTGACCCATGAAGCGAATCAATGACTGTCAGTGGCTCGATCCACTCGAGCCGTCAATAGTTGCAATGCAATCACCTACCCATTTCATTGACCCACTAGCCTAGATCCAATAATTTTGCTGAAAAGCTGGCGCGGTGAATCATACTCCCACTCAAGCGCTCCTTCTCCTCCGCAGGTTGTAAGGACTGCTCTTCTGCACACGATCGAAGGGGCGGTCCCAGCAGACTGGACGGCCGAGCAAAAGAACGCCACCACCCACGCCTGGTCTCGAGCGTATGATGAGCTCGTCGCCGTCATGCAAGCGGAGATGGACGCCACGAGAAAAGCAGCCGAAGCCGCTTGGAGGTCAGACTACTAGGAAACGCGCGCAATTTCCCCCCCGCCGGACGTAATATCCAAGTCGTATCGGAGAGAGGAGAGAGATGTTATGTCCGCGAGTCGTGCCTCGGAAACGACGACGGCGACGGCGACGGTGAAGGAAGACGGCCGTTTCTCGACGGCAGCTGCTTCTGGAGGTTTGATGTCGAGAGCAAGTGAACGACGAGGAGGACTCGAACATCCAGCAGCATCGTACACAAGCTCAGATCGATGATGGTCGGCACTGCAGAGAAGCGTCTTGGTATGAGTGTTGTGCCCCGATTGAGCTTTGAAGATCGAGTATTTGTTTCTAGATTTCTAGACGCGGTGGCTTTTCCAGCGAGTGGTGAGATGAGCACGGCAGACGCCAGCAAGTGCTCTGTACTTCTGTAAACAGGTTTTCGATCGATGATTTCACTCTTCGAGAACCGCCCTACATTTATTACGTTGTGGTTGGATCGAGTACATAGACTTCTTCGGGAAGTTCTGTAGGGAAGTTCCTACGTATGACGGTGTGTCTAATCAGGAGTAATTTTGTTTCCATGTGTCTGAGAACATTTCTTCACGTAGAGTACTACTCATGGCTCCGTGGGATTTTGAGGTTGAGCTGCGGTGGCAATGTAAAGAATTTCACACCTTATCAATTCTTGGAATGGATTAGAAAAAATCCACATATTCTTCACATTTTCCTTCTATTCCCGTGAACCAAGTGTATTTCTTGTTTTTCGTCTGATTTATCAATTTCTCAAACGAAAACATCATAAGTTGAACGAGGAATGAGATGCAGAAGCAGTCCAAGACTATCTTGCAAGTTTTGTCAGCCATATGATTGAAACATTGGTTGTAAACGTTTGAGGTTGTTTGGCATAGTTATATTAAAAGGATTGAAAGAATCATCAAAAACTAAATTTTATTCCTTTAGCTTTCTATGTAGCACAACTTTCATCTCTTTCAAACTCCACTAACAAAAGCTAATCAATCTAGCATCTTTATGACCAAGAAGTCAGTTATATGCCAAAATGAAGTAAATACTCGGGTGAATTATTATGATTGCTTAATCATGATAACTATAACATGTCTCGTGGACATCACTCATCACTCAGTACGTTATGACTGAAATAGATCTGATTATGAACCTCATTCATATAAATGTGAAGTAACACAAAATGTAAGCCATAAAGATGAAATTGAATGGTCTTTATAAAGTATGAAGAGATGTTCTTGATTCAATCACTTTCAGATGATACACCACCTTTAATTTTAAATTTTCATTTTCATTTTGATTGGTTTTGATTTTCATGGTTTTAGTTATGTATTCAAATCTACCAATTCCAAATCAAACAATTGGCTTGAAGATTTTTACAACCGATGTTTTCCTTATCTTGAGTAGCAGCACATAAGATGGCATAGATGTTTGTAGATCAATACACCTTTACAAATTTAGGTTGATGAAAGGTGTGAAAATAATACAAAAGAATAAAAGAATAAAATAAAATTGAAAGCTCATCATATTCCAAATCAAACATCAAATACATTATATTTTTCTAAAACAAGGAAATCTTTTTTACTGTCCACACATTGAAGATTGCTGATTTATAATCACAATTTTTTTTAAAAATATCATTTTGAATTTTCTCAATGTAATTCATCCTTAGAGAAATTGTTAATGTTCATGTAAAGTCAAATATAAAGAAGAAAAGATACAAGTGGCATCAAAATTTTTCATGTGATTATCCTAATAGAATTTTATAACAAATCTGAAGAGATTATATCATGAAGTGGAGTTATTCACATCAAAATAGTATAAATATATTGTCTTTGTTATGATAAAATCGGTCAAATCATACAGAAATTTTTGAAAAATTCAGAATTAAGATCATAAAATTTCATAGTTATAATAATAATAATTTATTGTAAAAAAATATTATTTACCACAAACGTGAATTTTTTTAATTTTCTAGCACTATTCACACTTCATCATATGCAAGATGTCATCACCATATTCATATGATATAAACTTGAATTATGATACCTTACAAAAATGTCATATTAGTCAAATAAGACATTTTTGTAAGGTATCATAATTCAACTTTATTGCTGAAATCATCCGTTCCAAACAACTAATATTTTCAACTTCGCAATCAACTAAATTATATGTATATATTTTGATATAATTGTAAATTATTTATAATATATATTATGTAAAAATATATTGCATAATCATTCAATTTTATTAAAATTTAATGGATAATATTTTATATTTTTTCAGTTTACTAATTTCACATTTTAAAAATAATTTGAAAGTAAAATATAATGTTTCAAAATAAAATCAAAAATAATTTGAATAATTTAAAACTTAAATGATTTTAAATGAGCAAGTAATCTCCAAACAAAAAAGCTGGCATAAATTAGTGAGTAGAGTGTGCAACTCTTAATTGCAAAGTTAGATATTCAATTTTTCTTTGCTAGCGTTTTGAGTCTATTTTGGTCACAAAAAATTTGTGTTGGTTTGTTTAAACTTGTTACCTTACAATTTTGATTGCTATTTGCAAATATAGGTTTTCACCTATTTTAATTTTTTTGATATTTATTCCCATTTTTTATTTTAGAAATGAGGTTAGAATGCTATATGCAACGATCAGGTTATTTTGACCGAAAGTTTGGAGATATTAAATTGGTTTGTGTTATGGCAGAATCTCTTGCATTGATAATCATGAAAAGTTTTAAGTGTGCAGGAAGGAAGATGTAAGTCCCTAGAGTATTAGTTCTTAGATTTGTTTAGAGAGAAGATTATCTATTTGTTTTTCATCTTCAATATCACTTTGAAGTGAATATCTTCCCACAAGTATGAAATCTCAATTTAATGCTTACCAAATGAAGGCAATTTTCTCCAACAAAATCTAGAAGAGTATTTTGAAATCATCATTGATCATGAAATCAGCTATGATTATGTAATAAGTGTAGCTCTAGTGTTCCATCGTATCGGATCTCTTTGAGTCTACATGGCTGACCTTAATATATAAAAAAATGTGTATTTTGAACTTAAGTCAATTTTAAGCAAATAAGCTGGCATAATTCATTACATAGAGCTGCAACTCCTAAGTGCAAGGTAAGAGGTTTGATTCCAATTTGTTCAACCCAAATCCATTTTATTTTTGAATGTATTTTTATAAATACCAATATTCTATTTTTTATTTGAAATATCAAAGCTCATATAATTTTGAATTTTGGCCACTATCATTAATGCATTTTTTTAGCATCTAAACATATATAATAGGTTAGAATATATTAAAAATATTTTATTTAGAATTTATATTTTGGAAAAAAATTTAACGCACAACTATTCGAATGATCATTTTAAATCTCATCATCATATTGAATGAATATGAAAATTCAAAAATTTAAAACACAATTCATTATGATGAAACTAATATAATGTTACATATATTTTCTTACAAGTGAAATACAAAATTTCATGCAACTTAAATATGAGTCTCATGGAACTACACAAGATTCTTTTCATTTTTTGGATGAATTTTCAATATTTTGATTTATTTGTATTATTTATATATTTAATTTAATATAATATTATTTTTTTATAATTTATTTTTCCAATCATACATATGAGGCAAAAAAAATTTACTCATCATCAAAAAGATTTTCAAAGAAATTGAGGCTGAAAAAATAATTACTTTTGATTAAATGTTTTCAATTTATTTCAATAAAAAATATAAATATGAAATCAATCACCTTGACATCAACTTCACATGAAATTTACTTTTAGATTAATACATGAATGTTAACTTCATCAAAAGTTTTGTAGAGATATTTGCTTGATGGGACCCCTACGAAAAATAATTTGCTTGATGGGAACCTCCAAATTTCGTTTCACCCGATGGGAGCCCAGGAACGATGCACCGTCACCCATGTTGTAATAATGACTTGAGTTTTAGATAGAGTGCAACGAGTCAACCACACTCGCGGACAGAGTGGACTTCGCCCTCTATCACGCTCACTTGTTTTTATTTTGTCATTCTTTATCCGGCCAGTCCTCTAGGTGACGGAGCAAAGAAATGCTCATCCGGAGTTTATTTATTCGCCATAAATGGGTGACCGCGAGACTTGAGCTCGGATCACTTTCTGGTACGAGCTCCTCGTCGCATACGCAGGGTTACGAAAGGAGGGTGCAGGCGGGAGGCGGCAGAGAAATCCGCAAATTGATGCGATCGGGAGAATTGAAGCACAACAAATTGCACTTCGGGCAAAATTGATCTTTGTCCCGGTGATAATCCACCAGAAATTACAATTAGGGATTGATCTCTGATTGTAATCCTCGCATTGTAACTATCAATCATAGTTACAATAACTATGGCCGACGGTACACAGTTGTTAGGGTACCATAGGGTAAAACTAAACCTGAAGTATACCATCAAGCAAATTACTTTCCGTAGGGGTCTCATCAAGCAAATCTCTCACAGTTTGCAACAAACAACCTTTTTCAAAGTAAAAAAATTAAAAAAAAATTAAAAAAAACACGGCATGTTTCATGACAATATATAGATGAAGTTTAGAGACTATGGTTGAAGCAAAACCGTATTACATAAATGATCATACTTTGACATATACGTATAAAAAATCTGTCAATTTTATTATGAAAACATTGCATACAATTTTGCTCAATGCATAAATATAAAAATAAGGAGCAATATTTATAAAGCAAAATTTAATTTTGTTTTAAAAATTATTCTAAATATTAATGTTCATCGTAGCCAAACTTTTAAGGACGGGTTTAGCTGCACAAACTTATACATAGCCCCTATATAGGGCCTTCATAGACCCAGGCAGGTGTCATCCTGCAGTGACCCGTGACGGAAGTTCTTCTTTTCGCTGCGACTCTCCTCTTTTGGACCAAAGATGGAAGATTGTGCGGGCAGGCTAACCGGGCAGGTTTTTCATTGGCACTCAATTTTCCGGTGGAGCATCAAAGTGATTGAATTAGATCGCTCCGCTTTCCGGCAGACGGATCTAACGATGGACTATAAGAACACTTTGCGGGGAGGGTCGGCGGACCCGGCAACCATGTAGATGGGATGCCCTCAACCGGAATGAATGACTCATCTGAAAATGGCAGGAATGGGCAAACTATCTTCCTCGGTATACTGGTATAGAACAAATTTATGCAATGAAGAGGACGATATTTGATTCGACTCCAGCAACATCAAGACCGGCTGATGGTCAAACCAAAGCAACTCGCATATACAAGAGACGATTCTTGAAGTGCTGTACTTAAAGCTACAAAAGAAAAATCGCACTTGAGATTCTTGGTTAAGTCCGTAACACTCATGATCAGTAAGTCATGAATTGAGGGTATTTTTGTAAGAAGATTTTCATTGCCAAGAAGAACTTGCAAAGCCCATAATTTATGAGCATACGAGGAGTTTGTAGAACTGGTTATTTGAGAGGTCAAAAGTTTGGACCTCAGATGGATCAGATCATTCCGAGTGAAATTTACAGGAGAAAAAATATGAGATTCATGCCCTACACGTATTACTGGGCTAGTCACACTCTGTCTAGAAAACTGGTAATAGGGAGGCGTGCAGAATTTAATATCTTGACGGGTCCTCTCTATCTGGTTACATTCATTTCAGTTTCAGTATGATCTACAGCAGAGTATTAAT